GAGGGGGGGGACGAGCACCAAGACTCCAAGTCCCCAACAAACACCAAACTTGGCACACACAGACCTTGACCAAAAATAAAACAGGGCAAAAAAAAAAAACCAAAAAAAACTGGAAAAAATGATCTCCAATGCACTTTTCAGGGTTGGGGTCGTTACCTTGGGGCTCAATAGTGGGGGTCCCTGTTAACCTTTGGTGGGAATCGTGCGGGAATAAGGGTCGGGAAGGGCGGAGGGATCGCGTGGGGATCGCGAAGTCGCGGGGGGGTGGGAAATGGGACTGGGTAGGCAGCAGGGGGAAGAGAGGATCGGAGGGGGAAGGAGAAGAGGAGGAAAGAAGAAGAAGAGGAAGAAGGAGAAACGGCGACGACAATGAGGAAGAAGAAGAAGAAGAAGAAGAAGAAGAAAAAGAAGAAGAAATGTGGATAAAGAAGAGAAAGAAAGAAAAATAAAAATTTGCTGGTAACCTACCTGCATGTCGGCGATGGCAGCGGCGGCGGTGACGATGACGTGGCAGTGGGTACGAGGCAACGCTGATGATGATGTGGCAGCGATGACGGAGACGACGATGGCGATGATGTGGCGACGACGACGGTGACGAGGTCACGATGATGTTGATGATGCGGCAACGACGGCGATGAGGTCGGTGGCGATGAAGATAGGACAGGGCGGGCAGGAGGGCCCGAAGCTGCTCCGATACCAGTGTGACGAGGCGGAGGTAGAGCAGCGAGGTCGGGGAAGAGAGAGGGAGGGAGTGAGAGCACACGCACGCACTCACTTGACTCGACATGGACTCGACACGACTCGACGAACACAGACACAAAGTGGCAAAGTGGCAAAGTTGCAAACTTGGTTCCGTACACAATGTCGCAGCAGGTCACACTGAAGCACAAGCACTGAGGCCAAAAACTGAATCCCCCGAACTCAGCTTGAGTCCGGTCTTAAGTACCGGACTCAAGTTGAGTCTGAGGGCAGAAGTGCAATTTGCCTGGGGGCTGAACTGAAAATCGAAGATCTGAGCCTGGGCACCAGAATGCCGAATGGCGCCAAGTATTGAAATTCGAAAGTGCCAGAGGCGGGATTTGAGAACGGGCGCCAACTGCAGAGGGCGCCAACAGTCAGGAACCGGAGATCAGAGACTCCAAAAAAAATAGAATAGCAGCCTGTCGGGTGGTAACCCGCGGACCAGGGATCGAGCCCTGGCTGGGTCCGTAACAGATACGGCTGGATTTGGGCACATCTCAGTGGGCGCAGAATTGCCCCACTGCCAAAAGAAAAGGGAAAAAAAAAAGAAACCCTTTTGTTGTCGCCCGGGTACCCCAGGCAGGTCGCCTCCCGTGCAGGTTCTCCCGGGCAACCCTGGTAACCTGGCGCATGACCTGTATAAGATTATGATTAACACAATTTAACAGTTAGATGTGTACAGTTGTAAACTACGGTTACGATCCGGATCTCTGGATCACCATCCCACAGGATTAGATCTGGATGTCGGACTGGATATCCCATCCAGTCCGTCTGGATAGGGCCCAAAAATCATGGGGGAAAAATGGCCATCCATGCGCCTTCCTGGCAATAAGGCCAACCCCCCAAAAATAGTTGGCTTTTTTCCTGGACCGTTTTGGGTTTTTATAACTGGGCCAGACGTCAGCCTTCTTCTTGTTCTTCTTCTTTTTTTCGTCTTTTTTGTTTTGGCTTATATGATGGGCCTTGTTTTGGGGAGGAACAAGCCCCACTTCTATGCGAATTTGCCTCTCTCTGCTACCTTGCCATTCGCCGTGCCACTGAACTGCCATTGCCGTCGTTCTGCAGAAGGTGGCTGTCTTGCATGAAAGGTTGACAGAGTCCCCATTGCCCCCCGCGCGCGCGAGAGAGAGAGAGAGAGAGAGAGAGAGAGAGAGAGAGAGAGAGAGAGAGAGAGAGAGGCGATTTCAAGACTCTTTTTTTTTCCGTTCCAGTTTCTTGACGTTTCTGGACCCTCCGGGGCAGTCCGCACGGTCTCGATTGACACATGTCCAGACGTCCAGAGATGTCTTGTCATCCGGGTGCCCGGACGGATCTGGATCTGAGTCCATCTTGACGTTCGGGTCCAGCATAACCATGTTGTAAACCATGCTGCCACATGAGAGAGAGAGAGAGAGAGAGAGAGAGAGAGAGAGAGAGAGAGAGAGAGAGAGAGAGAGAGAGGGAGGTGATTTCAAGACTCTTTTTTTTTCCGTTTCGGTAAATGTCTAGGCTAACCATGTCGGTGAACTTGGAGGTCGCAGGACGGTGGAGAGAAGAAGAAGAAGAGGAAGAATAGGAATCCCTCGTCTCTCTCTCTCTCGTCTCTCTCTCTCTCTCCCTCTCTCTCTCTCTCTCTCTCTCTCTCTCTCTCTCTCTCTCTCTCTCTCCAGAAGTAGG